CCTCACCTGAGAATATTTTTCCATTGATTTTTTTTTCTTTTTTTTTTAGAGAGAGGGAAAGACAGAGAGAAATATCAATGTGAGAGAAACACATCGATTGGTTGCCTCCTGCATGCACCCTGATCTGGGCCGGGGAGGAGCCTGCTACTGAGGTACATGTCCTTGACTGGAATTGAACCCAGCACCTTTCAGTCCACAGGCTGATGCTCTATCCACTAAGCCAAACTGGCTAGAGCTGGACTTTGTTATATATTATGTGGTAATACCAGAATTATGTGCTGTAAGGTCTCATGAACTATGATAGAATACTAGAGGCCCGGTGCACAAATTTGTGCATGGGTGGGGTCTAGCCAGCCTGCCCCGATTGGGGCCAATCAGGCTGGGCCAGCTGGGGGAAGGGCTGCTGGAGGCTGGCTGGCCGGCTCTGCCCCTGATCGGGGTGGGAGCACGATCGGAGGCGAGGTCGGCCCAGGGGAGGGGTTGTGGGCCGTTGGCTGGCCAGCCCGCCCCTTGTCGAACTCCCAGTTGAACTCCTGGTCGAGGGGACAATTTGCATATTAGCCATTTATTATATAGGACTATATAGGAGGATTGTGCTCTGCTTTCCCACAGCCATCTCCTTTTTGAGGCCTGCACCACCTGTTCTCATTCTTTCTTGGGAGCATGGAGGTCTGTGAAGAAAACCATGTGTGTGGGTGCTAAATCCTTTTGTGTTTGTGCCTTCCAGGCATTTTGTACTTACACCCTAGCCTTTTACAATTTGTAAGAAATTTTAGCTGAATTCTTACCTACTTATATGTTGCTTGTATTTCTTTTTCCATGATCTGCCACAGGTGAGCCAGTGCTCACATTCTGTCTCTCTCTGGAGGTGCCCATCTCACATGGATTTTAAGCTCCTTGGATACTCTGTAATCTCAGCCCTCTGATGGATTCAAGAATAGTTATGCTTTTGTATATTATTTGTCTTTTTCTTATTAGGGTGCAAGCAACACTCTGTCCAGCTTTCTTGATCTTAGGTTAGTCTCCATGTGCTTTCTGGTATGTTTTTCAAATCTGAGCCTAATCAATGTCTCTTCATTGTTGCCCCATAGTATTGTGTAAACAGTGCTGATAGAATTTTGTCACGATCTGTTCAGAGATAAATTTTACAATTAGCAAAAAATAATTTTGTAAAGATAGCTTATGGACTATTCTACGCTCAAAAAGCAGTATAAATTCTGTTTTATAAAATTACTTTGTTGCTGCTAATAAATAGGAATACTAATCCTATCTAACAATAGACAAACATGGTAATTAACTGTAGCTCCGACACGCTTCCCATTGGCTAATCAGGGCGATATGCAAATTAACTGCCAACCAAGATGGTGGCCGGCAGCCATGCAGCTGAAGCGAACAGGAGGCTTGCTTGCTCCAGTGATGGAGGAAGCGAAGGTTCCCTGCCTGCCGCTGCCGGCCTTTGAGCTGCACTCTAAGAAACAATGTTGCAATTATAGAAGCCAAACAAACCCAGATACCTGCTTTCAGCAGCCGTCTCAGAGCTGGAGCCGAGCCTCAGAGCTAAAGCCGGCTCTCAGTTCCAGTGACAGCCATAGAAGGTAAATAAATCCCAGAATAAAAAGAAAAAAAGAAATAAAGGAGAGGTTGGGAGCTTCAGTCACCCGCCAGCCTGAAAACAGCCCTCAGCCTCTCACCCAGACTGGCCAGGCACCCCAGTGGGGACCCCCACCCTGAAGGGGTGTGACCAGCTGCAAACAGCCATCACCCCCTCATCCAGGCTGGCCAGGCACCCAAGCGGGACCCCCACCCTGATCCGGGACAGCCTTCAGTGCAAACCAGCCGGCCCCTATCCGTGCACCAGGCCTCTATCCTATATAGTAAAAGAGTAATATGCAAACTGACCCTAACAGCAGGACTGGGAATGACTGGCCGCTATGACACACACTGACCACCAGGGGGCAGATGCTTAATGCAGGAGCTGCCCTCTGGTGGTCATGGTGCTCTCACATGGGAGGAGCTCTGCTCAGCCACAAGCCTGGCTGATGGCTGCCAGTACAGCGGTGGTGGTGGGAGCCTCTCCTGCCTCCTCAGCAGCGTTAAGGATGTCCAACTGCAGTTTAGGCCTGCTCCCTGCTGGCAAGTGGACATCCCCCGAGGGCTGCCCAGCTGCCAGAGGGATGTCTGATTGCCATCTTAGGCCCAATCCCCCGGGGAGCGGGCCTAAGCCAGCAGGTGGTCATCCCCTGAGGGGTCCCAGACTGCGAGAGGGCACAGGCCGGGCTGAGGGACCCCCCTTCCCCCCCGAGTGCACAAAAATTTGTGCACTGGGCCTCTAGCAATATGATAAATAGCAGTAGCTCAAATTTATTGTGTTCACTATGTGACAGGCATTATGTTAAGTACATGTAGCATTGTCTCTGATGTGTTTACCTCCCCCACTCCAAGGAGGCAGCTTGTTGTTGGTAATTGGGGTGATTGTACAGAGTATGAGCAGGTGTGACTCATCTCAACTCAGCTTCATTTGTCCTTCACAACTCTTGCTAGTGACACTTTAAACCAGCCGTGGGCAAACTACGGCCAGTGGGCCGGATCCGGCCTGTTCGGCTGTTCTATCCGGCCCGCGGAGCCGAAAGAGCGGAGGGTTCTCTTGCTCTCCCCTCTGCTCCTTCACCAGCAGCAGTGTTAACATGGCAACGTCGGGAAACACGGCCACAGCTCCTTCTTCTGAGTCCAGTTTAAGAACCCATTGTGGCCCTCGAATCAAAAAGTTTGCCCACCCCTGCTTTAAACTCAAGATAGAGTCTCACTGGATTTGAGAAACTTAATTCTTACTGTGCCATAGTCCTTTTATACTGAAAGGTTATGTCATCATTCAGGAAGAATTTATATGAACAAGTGATGCCCTTAATCTGACATACATCTAACCCAGCGGTCGCCAATCTTTTGGTGATTGCTGCTCCAAATGTTTCCTTAAACCAGTGGTTGCCAACCTTTCGGACCTCACAGCCCACCAGTGTTCTGCGCACCACTGGTTGGAGACTGCTGATCTCTTGGCTCTTGAGTCAGAAAGCAGAACCAGAACCTTCCCTGGCACCGCGGCGCCCCCCCCCCCCCCCCTTAATTTTGGTCTGCAGCTTCCCAGCAGTCTTAGGAGCCTGCTTTTCCACACCTCTGTTTACTTCTTTTCACAATGGCTTTTTGATACAGATAATGTAGATCCTATTTTACAGCGAAGAATTTGAGCATTAGAAGCAGAAAGTAATTTGCCCATTATCACGTAGCTTATAAATGAGCAGGAGCAAGGCTCAAACAGGCTGCACTATAATGTTATTTACTGTGCAAGAAGGTATAACCCCCCTTGGACCCAGGTGCAATACCCCCTGTATTTAAAGAGTTGTATTTTTTGTTATTCTCACCCAAGGACATGCTTTTATGATTTTTTGAGAGAGAGAGAGAGAGAATGGAGAGAGAGAGACAGAGAGAGAGAGAGAGAGAGAGAGAGAGAGAGAGAAAGAGAGAAACATCAATGTGAAAGCGAAACAGCAATTGGTTTCCTCCTGAATGTGCCCGACTGTGAATTGAACCCACAACCAGGATATGCGTCCTGACCGGGAATCAAACTCACTGCTTTTTTGTGTATGGGACAATGCTCCAACCAACTGAGCCTTACCAGCTAGGGCTAAAGGATTGTATTTTTAAATTAGTGATGGTGTATTTTGCATCTAGTTTATTTCAGTTTTAAAGAGAAAATACTGTCTTCAGATGAAACTTTTATATCTAGAAGAATAGACAGGAGGGCAGTTTTTTAAGATTATGGATCAAAATTTTATATTGATGGACCTTAAATGTCATGCCCTAAGAGCTAAAAACTGGAATTGAAACAAAACAGGCCCTTATACAACTTCCCCAGCATCTACACTGCCTTTCTTTTAGGTCTAAAAATAGTGTGTCTGTACCAGTACAGGTAAGTTAGCACTGGACTACCTTTAGTAGTAGTGGAGAACTAGAAAGTATTATAGGTCTGATGGCATCAAAATGAGGCCTTGTATGTGGGGCTCTTGTGAAACAGTTGGGAAACTGAAATTCTATGTAGTTGTAATTTCAAAATTTGTCAGCAAGAAGGTGTGGGTAAAGTGTGCCAGAGGTGGAAATGGTAGGAGTTAATGTTTATTGGTACTTAATTCTTGGGTGGGATTTGTTTTCTGTTGGTTGATGTTAATGAGATCAGGCTTTAGAGCAGTGGTTCTCAACCTTGCCTGCACATTAGGATCATCTGGGAATCTTTTTAAAATCCTGACTTCTGGGCCTCATCCTCCGGAAATTCTGTTTCTTTGTTGCTAATGTTGTGGCCCCACCCCATAACAAAGAAACAGAATTTCCGGAGGATGAGGCCCAGAAATCAGGATTTTAAAAAGATTCCCAGGTGATTCTAATGTGCAGCCAAGGTTGAGAACCACTGCTATAGATGATGGGGAAGGCAAACTACTTTCAATAGCACACAGGTTTTGCCTTTGGTGCTAGTTGACAAGCTGTTCAAGTAAGAAAATGTGTGTGCATTTGCATAGATTCACCACCAGTACAGTGGGGCCTTGACTTACGAGTGTCCCGACTGACGAGTTTTTTGAGATACCAGCTGTCTCTCGGCTGATTTTTTGCATTGAGTTGATAGAGTAATTTGAGTTAACGAGCTCCTTAACATGCTCCTTAACGAGCTCGGTCTCAGAAGGAATTAAACTCGTAAGTCAAGGCCCCACTGTATTAGAAAGGTAACTAAAAAACCATATTTTACTAATGGTGGGGTATCAGTGTCATGTTGACATTTTGAGACTAGAATTAATATAGAGAGAGCCTAGTTATAAATGTTAGCATTACATGGCATTAACTTTAAATGATTTAATAGAAAACTTTCATTTATCTTTCAAAACAACTGAGTTGTAATACCAATATTGAGTTAAGTGAAATTTCAGGTTATTTAAATATCTTTGTGGCTCTTCTTTTTCAAGCTCCCAATTGAAGACTTATGCAATTTAACGTCCCAGTCGCTGCCCATTGCACAGACTTCAATAGTACCTGAATCTACAGAAGACATTCTCTTGAATGGTTTCATTTCATTAGAAATGGAAGAAGAAAAAATAGAAACGGCACAGCAGGTAAGTGGCAATATTGTTTCTAAGGATGTTTTATCATTTTATTTATTTATTTTTTACAGAGAGGAAGGGAGAGGGATAGAGAGTTAGAAACATTGATGAGAGAGAAACATCTATCAGCTGCCTCCTGCACACCTCCTACTGGGGATGTGCCTGCAACCAAGGTACATGCCCTTGACTGGAATCGAACCTTGGACCTTTCAGTCTGCAGGTCGACGCTCTGTCCACTGAGCCAAACCAGTTACGGCTGTTTGATCATTTTAAATTAAATGTCTTGATACAGGGCTAATAAAAAAGATCCTAATTAAAAGTTCTGAACATTTTAAACTATACAGGGTGGTACAAAAGTAGGTTTAGAGTTGTTTGTATGGAAAATAATTAATAATAATACAAGAATAAACTGTTTTGTGTACTCACAATTGTAAACCTACTTTTGCCCCACTCTGAAGTTAACAAAATTTTTTTAGAACATTCTTTATTTTCTGTTAGTTGTGGCTGTTAAGTATTTTAAATGAATGTTTTGCCCAATCATATTTGCAATACAGAGAAAAATATATTTCAAGTTTAGATGTTGATTGATTATATTTATTAAGGTTTTGGTATTTTATGTACTTTTGACTTCCCCCAGTGTATGTCTATGTTATGTCCCCCTCCAGCATGCAGTGTGCGTGTACATACACACACAGACACATACACATACCATTCTATTTTTAGGTAAATTTATTTTATAATTTATCTTTATTGTTGAAAGTATTACAGATGTCCACCGCCCCGCCCCCCCCCCCCCCCCCCGCACTCTCCCCCCTTCCATTGACCCACCCCTCTACCCTACTCCTGCCGGCTCCCCAGGCCTTCATACACTATTGTCTGTGTCCATGGGTTATGGCTAGGTAATTTAAAAACAACAACTAAATAATCTTTTTAGATGAATGCTTATAGCTACTTTTAGTAATGTAGCCTGTGTAATCTTCTCTTGTTTTTTGCTTATTCCTGATTAAAAATCTAAATGTTCAGTAGTTTCTTCTGCCACTTCCTCTGCTTCTCTTTCTGTTCTGTGAAGAATCAAAGCTGAGGCATTTACTGAGTAAAACATAAAACAAATATGCTGACCTGCATGTATAGTAAGTTGAGGGAAGACGTGCAGTAAAGTGATTAAGAACTCTTGCTCTCGCCCTGACCTGTTTGGCTCAGTGGATAGACCGTCGGCCTTCCGACTGAAGGGTCCCGGGTTCGATTCTGGTCAAGGGCATGTACCTTGGTTGCGGCCACATCCCTGGTGAGGGTTGTGTAGGAGGCAGCTGATCGATGTTCCTCTCTCATCGGTGTTTCTAACTCTCTATCCTTCTCCCTTCCTCTCTGTAAAAAAATCAATAAAATATATTTTAAAAAAAAAGCTCTAGCTCTCGAGTCGGGTCCTGGATCTGAAAGTCACCTGTGTCGCTTACCACCCTTGTGAGCTTAGGAACATTTCTTTTTATTTTTAGTCTTTAGTTTCCTTATGAGTAAACAATAATTATATACCTACATCATAGGATTTTTGCGAGAATTAAATAAGATAATGCATGTAAATGCAGTATGTGGCAGGCACACAATCAGGGTTCAGTAAATGATAGCCAAGGTACTTGTCAAGCTTAGTCTCTTGAGAGAATAAAGCATACTTTGACTTCAAATCCCACTTGCACCAGTCTGTGAACTTACTTGGACTATTAAATAATAACTTACTTGGACTATTAAAATACTCTTCTGGATTAAATTTGCACTTGTATATCTCTTTTTAAATTTAGAAAAATCTAATATATTGAGTTATAATTTATGTACAGTAAAATGTAATCATTCTAAGTGTACACCTTGGCGAGTTTTGACAAGTATCTATACCTGTGTAAGATATAGACAAGATACAAAACATTTTCTTGGTCCAAAAGTTCCCTCATGCTTGTCATGGTCATGGTCAACCTCTCCCATCTCTTTTTAGTAATAGATATTTTCATAATATAGGGCCAGAATTCAGACCCAGGGTTAGCTAATACAAAAGTCCATGTTCTTAAACCAGTCTGTTATATTATTTTTGAGTTTATATTCTCACAATTCCTACTAGATAATATTAATATTTTATTTACTCAAAGCCCAATGTTACATACTCAGAATTGGCAAACTAGCAAATAGGCTTTAGCCTCTCAAGAAGAAATATTTATTTTTTTGCCTTTCTTTTATTAGTATTTATTTTATGCTGAATTTACTCCCAGGCCATAAGTTTTTGTTTCTTCAGTTTCTTCTAGGACATCTTTTTCTTCTGTGCAAACTCCTCTTCTGGTTTAGAAACAATCTGCTCTTTTCAGTAAGAGTCCTTTCACTGTAGCAGGGAGAACTCATGTATGGGGTAATCCACCTCTGGGCTCTGTAGGTTCTATGCTGCATTTTGGGAGCTTTGTTCACCTGGATGTGCTCAGTGACCAGAGAACCTACATCTAAAGTTTAAGTTCAGCAGTGCTCTCTGCATTTTTAAACACATGCAGCAAAAATTTAGCACTCTTTTTGGGCCACTGACCCTGTGTCCAGCCCTACTGTTTTGCCTGGGCATATCTACCAACTCCACCATTGTAACAATGGAATGGCACACATCGCTTCTGTAAAGTGACATCCTTCAGATACTTGGTGGCTTTTAGAATATGCATACCTTGGTGGCCTGGGCAGTTTCATGAGTGTTCTTAAAGTGAACACGGAGATTTGAGCTTCTTGATTTGCATGATTTTGTAGGGTTTTCTGGGTCAAGTGAATAGTGAATCATTTTCAAAGGTCACCTCTGGCCACTTTGGGGAAGAGCAGAAATATTTCTTATGTATTATATTTTTAATACTCTTTTTTAAGTAACTCTGAAAATGACCCATTTTTTTTCTTTTTTATTGAATTTACTGGGGCGATACTGGTTAACAAAATTATATAGGCTTCAGGTGCACAATTCCACAACACATTATCTGTACACTATACTCTGTGTTCACCACCCCCAGTGAAGTCTCTGTCCCTCACCATTTATTCCGCCCCCCCCATACCCTCCTCCACTTTCTCCACTCCTTCCTCTCCCCATCAATCACCACATTGTTGTCCGTGGGCCATTGTTTTTAATATCCTTTGCTTTTCCTAGCATGTAGATATTGACTATACAATTAAATTGTCTCTGGGTTTAAAACCAATTATTAATATCTGATCCCCAAACAATAAGAATTAGTGTTACTCTTTTGACTTGCTGTTTAGCATGCAGCCACTTTTCATTTTGTCTGTTTTAGTTTTGTTGACAATATAATATTTATTTTTCCAGTTTTTCTCGTGGTTTGCAAAGCTACAAACTCAGATGGATCAGGATGAAGAAACTAAATATAGGTATGTGGCTCTTGCATTTGTTGGCTATCCTAATTTTTAGATCACAGTCATCTAAAACATTTTGTAACCTGTGTCTCTAAATAAAATTAACATACAAAGAAAACTCCAACAGCAATATTTTCTTTAAAAGTAACCAGGGAGAGGATTTGGGTTAACTGGTATTAAAAGCTGTGTAATTGAAAAGAAAATTACATTGTAATTAATAAGTTAGCAGGGGTTAGGGGGATGGAGGGGGTGGCAGACATTGGTTTTTAGATAAGTCTAGAAAGTTTGGGTTCACGTGGTAATTGTACAGGAACTCTAAGAGGTGTTTGTTGCCTTTCTTTAAAAGGGGAGACCCAAGAGACTTTATGCATGGCCACCTAGCTTCCAGGTGTAACCATGTTGTTCTGTTTGTGTATATTGATAGCAAGGGAGAAATGGTGGTATACTGTTTCTGGCAGATTTGGGGACTATGGCTTGCATTCAGTGAACATTTATTAAGTGACTGTAATTGCTAAGCATTGTGTTAGGCCCTGTGATGTATGATTCCAATTAATCTTTATAGCAGCTCTGTGAGAAAAGGTAATATTATTCCCATTTTACAAATGAGCAAACTGAGGCTTGGAGATATTAAAGTAGCTTGCCTAATGTCATGGAGACTTGGGCAGAGCTGGGATTTAGACTTAGGTCTTCTAATTTTGAGTCCAGAATTCTTCCCATGACATCACACTATCTCTCAAAGGTGGAAGTGACCTGAAGGATTGACCTTGATGCCTTGGGATGGATGGCCCTTGTGTCTCAGACTTTAAAAGTTGAGCTGGTGATTTATTGCCTTACATGTGAAAAGCCAGTCTTTGGCTTCAAGGCTGATTCCTTTTGTTGCTCCTTCTAAAATTTTTTTTAAAAAAATTAAAAAAATAAATATGTATTTATTATTTCTGAGAGGAAGGAAAAGGGAGAGAGAGACTGATAGAGACTGATAGAAACATCAGTGATGAGAGAGAATCATTGATCGTCTGCCTCCTGCATGCCCCACACTGAGGGTGGAACCTGCAATCCAGGCATGTGTCCTGACTGGGAATCAAACCATGACCTCCTGGTTCTTAGCTCGACACTCAACCACTGAGCAACACTGGCTGGGCTTTTTTTTTTTTTTTAATTGTTATTGTTGTTCCTTTTAGTTTCGGTAATTTTCCTTCTTAAGTATTGAAACAGTCTGTAACATAGCTTTTGGTAGATTTCTGTATATAATGAACTGTAGTGAATAGGCCTGACTTTTCCTCCTGAAATTCAAGTGTTTGGGGGGGAAAAATGAGACTTTGTTGTTTATTTGCTATGTTTATTGGGGGAAAATATTATTGCCAATCCCCTTTTGGTTCTGTTTTCTAGACAGATGAGGGATTACTTGTCTGGGTTTCAGGAGCAGTGTGATGCTATATTGAATGATGTAAACAGTGCTCTTCAGCATCTGGAATCATTGCAGAAACAGTATCTTTTTGTGTCCAATAAGACAGGAACCCTACACGAAGCCTGTGAACAACTCCTAAAAGAACAGGTAATTTGGAGTAGGAGAGAGGGTCAGTGATTATGCTTACTATTTTATTTTAAAATAGATGAATACTTTTTAATTCTAGTTTCCTTAATTTCTCCAATTTAGATATTGAACACTGCTCTATATAAGGCCCTGTGCTAATAAGAGTGCAAAATATTACATTGACAGCCTTCTTTTCATTCTAAGTAAGCTTATGTGAACAGGGGCAAGGATAAGCTTTCCTATGTTTTGAGCTATTAGGTCTCAGTACACTTTCAGAGTGAAGACTATATATTAATTTGCTCTGTCTGCTCTTTATCATTGATACTTTTGAAACAGGCATAGTGTTTATGGGTAATGATGGGGTTTAAGAAAAGATGAAGTGATGTAGGTAGTGTTTAAATTGTGACTTAAAGATAGACTATTTTCATTACTTTGTTTATTTCAGAGTTTTCTTTATGTGCGTTCTGTTTCTTAAAAGGCAATTAATAATTTATTATTTTGTAAGGTTACAAAATAATGTAATTTACTGTGATAATCATTGCTGATTTTAGTCCATGATTGCAAAAATCTTTGAGCATTATTCTGAAATCTTATGTCTTATGTATATCAATTCAGATAATTTTTGAGACTGGAGTGTTGATTTTTATGTTCTCGTAATAACTGATTTTTCTCTTTTAAAAAATGCAAGTCGGAACTTGTTGATCTGGCTGAAAACATTCAACAAAAGCTTTCCTATTTCAATGAATTGGAAACTATTAACACAGTAAGCATGTTTTTTACTTTTTGTAAAGTTAGTGACTTTATTTTATATTTCCCTTTCTGAAAATAATCTTGAAACCTGTAAATTGGCTTGAGTGATATTTTAACTTAATAGTTTGCTTGATGAAAGTATTCCTCTTTGTGACTGATGGACATACCATTACCACTTCAGATTTTTTTCAAATATGATTTAAGTAATAGTTCTGTTTGAATTGTATTACTGTTATAAAAAAATCTTTTTGTTGCTCGACCGGTGTGACTCAGTGGTTGAGTGTCGACCTATGAACCAGGAGGTCATGGTTCTATTCCTGGTCAGGGCACATGCCTGGGTTGTGTGCTTGATCCCAGGGGATGTGCAGGAGGCAGCCAATTAATGATTCTCTCATTGTTTCTATCTCTCTCTCCCTCTCTGAAATCAATAAACATATACTTAAAAAAATATTTAAAAAACTTTGTTGGTTACCTCTTATAGTATCTTATTTATAAGCTGTGAGAAAGATTATAAGAAGAAATATTAAATTTTAAATCTTGTTGTGGTCGAACTACTATCTATATATATAAAAGGCTAAGTGACCTTCTGACCATCCGACCGGTAGCGATGATGTGCACTGACCACCAGGGGCCAGACACTCAATGCAGGAGCTGCCGAGCTGCGGTAACTTGGCAGCAGCGGTTCTTGGGTGATGTACCCCGGAACCAGAGAGGAGGGAGCCTGATTCTGGGATGCATCACCTGAGAACTGCCCTCTCGCAATCCGGCACCCCTCAGGGGATATTGGAGAGCCGGTTTCGGCCTATCCCCGCAGGCCAGGCCGAGGGACCCCACCTGCTGGAGAAACCCCGCTCACTCTGCAGACACCCGTTGAGTTGCAGTGCCACCTCTGGTGCAGCCTGCTGGGAAGGGACCATGGGAGGTTGGTTCCAGGGCGTATCTGGCCTGTCTTGCCCAGTCCCGTCCTGCTGGCTACCTTCTAATTAATTTCCTTTCAATGTGCATGAATCTGTGCACCGGGGCACTAGTAATAATAATAAAAACATGTTTTAAACTAATCTCATATGTAGTGTGAGGAAAAGTATAGTCCTCATAATCTATTTTTTTTTTAATCCCAAAGTAATAGTCTCAATAAAGACTGCTGTGTAAATGATATTTCTGGTTCATAAAATAATCATAACTATAATCACAGTATGTTATTTAAATATTAAATTAATCATAATGATAATTTACTAAAAGATAGAAGTAAAACTAGTAGTCAGTTAACAATGGAATAGAATGGGAAATGGTTCATTGCCAAGCTATTTGTATATCGAGATAAGAAATAATTGGCTGGTTTTACTTACATTTTATATCCTATATAATAAAGAGCTAATATGCAAATGGTTGGGGCCAGGGTACCTGAGGCTGGGCTGGGGGACCTGAGGCTCCGCCCTCTGCCCAGTGCCGGAGGACCTGAGGCTATGCTTCCCCCCTATAGGGCTTGACGGGGGTGGGGCTGGCCAGGTCTGGGTCTCACGTGATTTTAAGGCACATACGGGTGGGTGGGGACTTGACTCTGGGTCCTGTGGTGTGCCCCAGAGTCTGACAGGAGGGAGATTTTCTTATACATTTTAGTAATTTTCTTTCATCTCTGACACTTCTATTATAGAAAAAGGGCAAATAGCAATATTAAAATATTTCCTCTAATTCCCTTTTAATGTGCATGAATTTTGTGCACTGCGCCACTAGTATATTTATACTAGAGGCCTGGTGCATGAAATTTGTGTACTCATGGCGGGGATGGGGGGTTCCCTCAGCCTGGCCTACACCCTCTTGCAAGCAGACATCCCTCTCGCAGTCTGGGACACCTTGCTCCTTACCACCCGCCTGCTCGCTGCTCCTTACCACTCAGCTCCCTGCTCCTTAGTGCTGCTGTGGAGGTGGGAGAGGCTCCCACCACCACCGCTGTACTCGCCAGCTGTGAGCCCGGTTTCTGGCTGAGTGGCACTCTCCTGTGGGAGTGCACTGACCACCAAGGGGCAGCTCCTGTGTTGAACATCTGCCCCCTGGTCAGTGCACATCATAGTGACTGGTCGTTCTGGTCGTTCTGTCATAATGGTCATTTAGGCTTTTATTGTATAGATCAGGGGTGGGCAAACTTTTTGACTCGAGGGCCACAATGGGCTCTTAAACTGGACCGGAGGGCCGGAACAAAAGCATGGATGGAGTGTTTGTGTGAACTAATATAAATTCAAAGTAAACATCATTACATAAAAGGGTACGGTCTCTTTTTTTTTTTAGTTTTATTCATTTCAAACGGGCCGGATCCGGCCTGCGGGCCATAGTTTGCCCATGGCTGGTATAGATTATATATTTATATTATTACATATTGTATATTATATATATACTAGAGGCCTGGTGCACAAAAATTTGTGCACTCAGGGAGTGTCCCTCAGCACGGCCTGCGCCCATTCACAGTTCAGGACCCCTTGGGGGATGTCCACCTGTCGACTTAGGCCCACTCCCCAGGGGATCAGGCCTAAGCTTGCAGTCAGACATCCTTCTGGCAGCCAGGGAGCCCTCAGGGGATGTCCGAGTAAAGGCTTAGGCCCCCAAGGGATCAGGTCTAAACCATTAGTTGGACATTCTTAGTGCTGCCATGGAGGTGGGAGAGGCTCCTGCCACCACCACTGTGCTGGCCAGCCATGAGCCAGCTTCTGGCTGAGTGGCACTCCCCATATGGAAGTGCACTGACCACCAGGGGGCAGCTCCTGCATTGAGTGTCTGCCCCCTGGTGGCCAGTGCACATCATAGCAACCAGTCATTCTGCCGTTCAGTCAATGTGCATATTAGCCTTTTATTATTATTATATAGGTTGTCCCTATTTCCTCTTCCTCCCTTCTGCCCCTTCTACCCAGCTCTTGCCCCCCACTTCTCTCTGGCCATCACCATACTGTTGTCTGTGTCCATGGGTTGTGCATATATTTTCTTTGGCTAATCCCTTCTTTAAATTCACTTCTTTAAATTTTTATTTTCAGATAAGTGCTTATAACTGCACTATTATATATTTTCTATTATATCATTTAGAATTAAGGTATTTTTTAATTGAACCCTTGTAAATTTTAGCACAATTTAATAAATTATGCTAGAAGCAATTAGGAGATTTTTCATGTAATGCATACACATTTCAATTAATATTTTATTAACTTTTAATTTTTTAATATTTTAATTTGAAATAATCTCATACATGTAAAAAAAAACCTATAAAATACTACAGCATATTATATGTACCCTTCACCCAATTTCTTAGGTGTTAGTAATTTAAACATAACCATTATATAACTAACAAAATTTGGAATATATTTTTCTTATAATCTCTTTAATGTGACTTAATCCATTTACTTTGTTTTTGTTAATCTTCACCTAAGGATATTTTTCCATTGAATTTTAGAGAGAGTGAAGGGAAAGGGAGAGACACATTGATTGGTTGCCTCCTGCACATGCTCTGATAGGGACTGGGGATCAAGCCAGCAACTGAGGTACATGCCCTTGACTGGAATCGAACCTGGGACCCTTCAGTCCATGGGCTAATGCTCTATCCACTGAGCAAAACAGGCTGCAGCTTAATTCATTTACTTTTAATCTATATGTGTCTTTATATTTAAAGTGGGTTTTGTTTTTGATTCACCCTCATAATCTGTCTTTTAATTGGTGCATTTATGCCACTGACTTTTAGAGTGCTTACTGATAGAGTTACTACCATATTAGGCGGCTTCTGGGTCAGGGCTGCCTTGCCGCTCAGGACCCGCCAATGATTGGGTCCCCGGCGGCAAGGCGGGGCCGGCTCCTGGAGGCCTCTGGGGTGGGGCTGCCTTGCCTCCCGGGAACCGCCGATGGGGTCCCTGGCAGCAAGCCGGGACGGCTCCTGGGGGCGGGCCTGCCCTGGATGGTGGCGTGCTGATGGCTCGCGCTGCCCTGCCCTGCCCGCAGTATGCAAATTAGCCACCATCTTTGTTGGCGGCTAATTTGCATATTGCACTGATTAGCCAATGGGAGGCATAGCAAAGGTACAGTCAATTACCATGTTTGTCTATTATTAGATAGGATTGCTTTATGTTTTAATATATAATCTTTTTTTTTAATTGCTTAAAGTATTACAAAGAGTATTACATATGTCTCCTTTTTTTCCCCTGCCCTTGACAATCCCCTGGCTTCCCTTATCCCCCAGAGTCTTATGTCCATTGGTTATGCTTATATGCATGCATACAAGTCCTTTGGTTGATCTCTTATAATCTTATATATTATGTTAAGTGTTAAATTTCACACATATATATTACCTATACTTACACTTATATTGTTAATATTATTACTTATATGCTTACTTATATTTTAGTTATATGTATTATATTTTACTTTCATAGTATGACTACTAAAGATAGTATGACTGACTGCTACTTAATCCTTTAACCTTGGGAAAATAGCCAGTGTTTCAACTTAGGCTTGATCCCTGGTGTGGGCATACAGGAGGGAGCTGATCAATGATTCTCTATCATCATTGATGTTTCTCTCTCTCTCTCTCTCTCTCTCTCCCTCCCTCCCTCCCTCCCTCTCCCTTCCTCTCTTAAGTCAATAAAATTATACTAAAAAAAAAAAAGTAAAGACATTAGTATAACTGTGTTATATACTAAAGGGAGATATGCTAATTCTAATACATAATTTTTAAATTAATTTTTGCCTACATATATTTTTATTAATTAAGGTCTTTTCTTTTTCCTTAAAGAAATTGAATTCTCCTACATTGTCTGTGAATAGTGAAGGATTTATACCTATGCTGGCCAAGTTAGATGACTGTATAACATATATCTCATGTCATGTAAGTTATGTTATTTCTGTGTTTTTTTAAGAAACCTTAGCAACCCTATTAATTTGCTTCTTAGGCTATAAAGTAATTATTTCTTCTGAAGGGAAAAAATATCTCTAATGTTCTTGAAGAAAAACTGTGGTAAATTCTTAGTCATTATTGAGAGTGATGTAAGAAGTACATTCAGCTGCTGAGGCAGCCCTTGGAGTGATGGCGAACCTTTTGAGCTCGGCATGCCAGCATTTTGAAAAACCCTTGCTTAACTCTGGTGCCATGTCACACATAGAAATTTTTTGATATTTGCAACCATAGTAAAACAAAGATTTATATTTTTGATATTTATTTTATATATTTAAATGCCATTTAACAAAGAAAAATCAACCAAAAAGATGAGTTCGCGTGTCATAGGTTTGCCATCACTGGATAGAATGAGGTTCTGACTGACACAGCTTTATCCCATCTGAAAGAATGAGCAATTTTCAGGCTCATGAATTTCTGTTGTGCTAGATATTATTACCCAAGGATTTATTTATAGCTGTATTTATTTCTCCCAACTCATATTCTTTTTCTAGTTGAGTCTGACATATTAGCCTTGAAGTCTATGGAGTACTGAAAATATATTTTGCTAAAAACTACTAATATTTATTGAGCCCCTATTTGTGCCAGGCACAGGGGACTTGGCTGTGACCAAGACAGTCACAATATTTGTCTTCATGAAACTTTTAATTTGCATAAGTCCTTTTTTAGAGTTTCATATATAGCTTTACATAAAGGACGTTTTGGTTTTCATTGAAAGTTTGCTTTGTCAACATTTGTTTCCTCTTTGTAAATCTTTTCTTTTTATTTACAGCCAAATTTTAAAGATTATCCTGTATATTTACTGAAGTTTAGGCAATGTCTTTCTAAAGCTTTGCACCTCATGAAGACATACACTGTGAACACACTACAGAACCTCACAAGTCAGTTATTAAAAAGGGTGAGTTAACTGGTGAGGTTTTTGGTTTGTTTTTGATTAATTTATCTTCTATAATCTTAGTCTGAGAGTAGTACTTAGTAAATCCAAAACATTGTTTACTGTTTGTTAAATAAGAATATGCATTGAAGTTTTTTTTTTTTTTAAGTATACATTTTTACTGATTCCAGAGAGGAAAGGAGAGGGAAAGAGAGAGAGAAACATCACTGATGATTGATCCGCCCGCCTCCTGCATGCCCTCTACTGGGGATCGAGCCTGCAACCTGGGCATGTGTTCTTTTTTAAATTTTTATTTATTTTTCTTTCTTTGTTTATTAAGGTATTACATTTGTGTTGGGCATGTGTTCTTGACCAGAATTGAACCTGGGACCCTTCAGTCCACAGGCCTACCCACTGAGCCAACCAGCTAGGGCAGCATTGCAGTTTTATTTATAATGGGAAAAGTGGTTGTATTGTATCTGTTCTGCAGAGTCTTATTTTCAAAGAATATATAACAGCCTGGGAGCTATTCAGTACTAATGATAAATAATAAGTGTTCAAACTATTTGTCACTTAAAATATTTTATCTTTTTATGAAAATATTGGAAGGAAATATGCCAAAATAATAAAAGTGGTTCTATTTGAGTGGTGGGATTACATATGATGGATAATTTGAAATTTTTTTCTTTACATCTGGTAGATAATTAAATTTTCTATGTTTAGCAAATGTATTTTTATTGAGTACCTCTTAAATCAGTGGTTCTCAACCTTCCTAACGCAGCGACCCTTTAATACAGTTCCTCATGTTGTGGTGACCCCCAATTTCATTGTTACAAATTGAACATAATTAAAGCATAGTGATTAATCACAAAAACAATATGTAATTATATGTGTGTTTTCCGATGGTCTTAGGCGACCCCTGTGAAAGGGTCGTTTGACCCCCAAAGGGGTCGCGACCCACAGGTTGAGAACCACTGCCCTAAATGCTTTGCATTGTTCTAGGAATTATACAGTAGTGAAAAAGGAGCTAACAAGGTCCCTGCACTCATGGAGCTTATTTCAGGAGATAAATCAGTAAAGAAGGAAACAAACAAATTAATTCATTTGCAGATTGTAGTAGATGCTAGGTGGGAAATTAGAGTGTTGAGTTAGAAAATAAGAGTGGAGCTAGCTAGAATGGTCATTTGTTTACTAAGAAAAGAAAACCTGAAAGATTATGCATTTTATTTTTTAAGTTTTTTTTAAAGAACATTGAATATCTTCTGACCTTTGAGTTTAAAAGCCACTGATTTTTGGGTTGCATTTTTATTCTTCATATTGACCTTAGCTAAGATAACAGCCAGACTATATAATTTTTCTATTTTGTAAATTTATTTTTTTATTTTTTAAAATTTTAATTAAATTACAAATTTTTAAATCTTTATTGTTGAAAGTATTACATATGTTTCCCTTTTCCCCCAATGACCTCTCCCAGCCCACCCCCACCCCCGACCCCAGGCCTTCACCACCCTATTGCCTGTGTGTGTTCCTGGGTTATGCATATATGCATACAAGTTCATTGGTTGAGCTCTTCCTACCCATGCCCACCCTCCCTTGCCTTCCCTCTGAGGTTTGACAGTCTGTTCATGCTTCCATGTCTTTGGATCTAATTTTGTTCATCAATTTATGTTGTCCTATTTTGTAAAATTTTTAATAAGTTTTGGAAACTAATACCTAATAAGTATTATTACCTGCTATGCATAGTGCTTACTATTGAGCTGCATTACGACTTTATGAGTATAGGTTATTACCATTTAATGGATGCTTTGAATCTCAGAGAGGTTAAGTAATTTGGCTAATGTCCTACCTCAGTAAATAACTGAGTATGAAGCTGAATTCAGGTCTCTTTACTGCCAAAAATTCATGTAACATGGGTAAGTTTTATAAAAGAGAGATGATGGTTCCTCATAATTATTTCTCATTTGTAGTAATAATAATACTAATCTCTCTCTGAGATTTTTCTCTTTAAACTTTCGGTTGGTGTATAGGCCAAGAAGTAGCTATTTGAAATGATGTGCATCACATTTTCTGAATACTTATTTGTTTGCTAATTATCTTCCTTCTCTATCCTTCCCCATGTTTCTGTAGGATCCTTCATCTGTACCTAATGCAGACAATGCTTTCACACTATTTTATGTGAAATTTCGAACTGCTGCTCCCAAAGTCAGAGTAAGTCTGTTGTTATAAATGGGATAGTGGTAGGAAATTTATTTAGCCTGCCCTTTTGAAGTACTACTGTATGTTAGGCCCTTTGCTTATAACCAGGAAAATGAACATAAATGAAAGAAAGGTAGGTATTGTCTTTCCACATTACATTGCATTATCTTAGAGTGCCTTTAGACCACAGAGCAGGAAACACCTCCTGAGATGCTTAGGGAATGTTTCTAGATGAAGGAGATATTTGAGCTTAAACTATTCAGATTTATAGTGGATTGGAGGGGATTGATTACTTATAGAAAATACAAATGGTTAATAAATAAGCTCGTGTTTAGCTTCAGTGGAGAATACATCCAATTTAAGGTTAGGTGGCATTTTTTTTTTTTTTTGTCTGTTAGAAACTGGGAGGTTAAGGTATAATAGTGGTTTTGAGGATTTAATGAGATAGGCAATACTGCTAATAGGGATGTAAAGCAGTTTCTCAAAAATATTTTGGGCCTATAAAAAATATTTATCTCTTATGACCCAGTGTTGGGGGTTCCCCACTGCATAGTAGGTAACTATTAGTATATCAGCTTTATGTGGTAGAAAGTGGAATCTCAGAGAAGTGAACCAGCTCTCCTGGGCTCAAAACAGCAACTGCGGAGGTGGCACTCAGACCCTTCAGTTTTTCTCTAGACCCAGAGCTCTTAACCACTGGCCAAGATGTCTGACAGTAGAAGAATGGTTGATTTATGTCAACCATTCAATATGTCATCACTGTAAGTCTAGATAACATCCATTACATCTACCCAAGGGGATATTATGTAGTCATTAAACAAATTTTTTTTTGTTTTTCATTAAAATATTTTTTTATTGATTTCAGAGAGGAAGAGAGAGAGAGAGAGAAATATCAATGATGAGAGAGAGTCATTGATCAGCTGCCTCCTGCACGCCCCATAACCTGGGGATCGAGCCCGTAACCCAGATAATTGCCCTTGACCGTAATTGAACCCAGGACCCTTCAGTCCGCAGGCCGACGCTCTATTCACTGACTGAGCCAAACCGGATAGGGCTAAACAAATGTTTTAAATAATATTTATAATGATGATTCACTGAGTGTTTGCTAGATACCTAGGCATTATGCTAAGGCTTTCTTTTTACATTTTCATCTGATAATGAAAATTATTTAATCATAGGAAAATGTTTTGAAATACAGTTAATTTTTTTAAAAGCAGTGTATAAAGCTGGATATGTAGTATAATTCCAGTTTTGTTTAAAAAGAAAAATATAGTCGTGGCCATTGTGGGTCAGTGGTTGGAGTGTCAACCAAAGGGTCCCGGGTTTGATTCCCTGTCAAAGGCATGTACCTGGGTCCTGGGTTGTAGGTTTGATCCCGTGCAGGAGGCAACCAAATGATGTTTCTCTCTCTGCCCCTTTACCTGCTCCCTCCCTTCTACTCTGTCTAAAAATCAATGGGAAAAATATCCTCAGTGAGGATTAAAAAAAAGAAAAACATAGTAACTATAGTATGTGTATACAAAAAAACGGAAAGAATATTCTAAAATATTAACTGATTATTTTATGGTATTACAGGTGATATTTATGTTTCAACTTTTTTGAATTTACAGATTTTCTAATAGCATGTGTTATAATCAGAAAGTAGTTAGTAGTCCATAACTAAAACAGATAGATTTTTAATGTGTTTTTTTTTAATTCTGCAGACTCTTATTGAACAAATAGAACAGCGATCTGAAAAAATACCTGAGTGAGTACCTAGATGTTCTTCAGTTTCCAAATTACCTTCTTCTATTTCCCCCAGTCTATTATGTAATTTTCTGAACAATTACCTTGCGTACTACACAAGCTTCTTCTTGTAGCACATCCCTTATTGTGGGGAGCAGGGTTGGAGGCCTGATATAGTGAGTGTTCAAGGCACACTCCCTGTTTATTTATTTATTTATTTACTTATTTTTATTGAGGAATAATGATATACAACTTACTAGCTTTAGGTATACTAATACAACGCAATGATTCAATATGTCATCACTATAAGTCTAGATAACATCCATTACCATGCATAGTTACAAAATTAATGTTTTTCTTGTGATGAAAACTTTTAAGATTTACTCTCTTAGCAACTTTTAAATATGCAGTGTAATATCATTAAGTATTATTGCTATGCTGTACATTTCATCAAGACATCTCTTTTTCCACATAGTAGGATTTTCTTTTCATTTGGGTAGATTTAAGATGTTTCCTTTTGGAAGATATATCTTTCATTAAAAAATAAAGGTTTAAACTCCAAGGTTAGAGAATTTAATTTACAAATTGAATACACGCTCATATTTTGTTTAAAAAACAAAATGATAAAGGTCATGACACCACAGTTTATTTTGTGTATCTTTTTATATATATACACACACCAGAGGTCTGGTGCACGAAATTCATGCATGGCAGGGGTGGTGGGGTGGTGGTGGTGTCCCTCAGCCCAGCCTGCACCCTCTTCAATCTGGGACCCCTTGGGGATGTCTGACTGCTGGTTTAGGCCTGATCCCACAGTCAGACATCTCTCTCACCATCTGGGAACACTTGTTCTAACCACTTGCCGGCCTGCCTGCCTGATGGCCACTCACCACCTCTGCCTGCCAGTCTGATCGCCCCTAACTGCCCTCCCCTGCCGGCCTGATTGCCACCTAACTGCTCCCCTGCCAGCCTGATCTCCTCTTAACTGCTCCTTTGCTGGCCTGATTACCCCCTAACTGTTCCCATGCTGGCCTGATTGCCCCCTAACTGCCCTACCCTGCCGGCCTGATTGCCCCCTAACTGCTCCCCCCTGCCGGCCTGATCGCCCCCTAACTGCTCCCCCTTGCTGGCCTGATCACCTCTACCACCTCTGCCTTGGCCCTTGCCACCGTGACTTTGTCCGGAAGGATGTCCAGTCTAATTAGCGTATTACCCTTTTATTAGTATAGATTATTAGTATAGATAAATATTTCTAGTATTTAATGTGGGCAAATGAGAGGTGACCTTATAGCATTAGAGGTTTGGCAACCTAATCTGGGACTTAAGGTCAGATTTAATTTATATATCTGAAATCAAAAATTTATACCCATCTCATTTGTTTTTCATCAGATACCAACAATTGCTAAATGACATCCACCAGTGTTACCTTGATCAGCGGGAGCTCCTTTTGGGGCCTAGTATTACTTGTACTGTAACAGAGTTAACCAGCCAGAATAACAGAGATCATTGTGCCTTGGTAAGTTTCTGCTTGTTTTGGTTTAATATTAACCCTTCCTCTGAAATATTTTGATACCTTAGAAGCTATATTTGGCTAAATAAGTTTTGTTTTCCATAGATACAAACTTAGAGAATTTTTCTTTCAGTTATGACAAATCTAGGTTGTAATTAGCATTCAACTTGGCAAAATATTCTCATTTTGATGTATTTTTTGACCTATGAAGATTCACAAACAAGTATTGTTCCTAGAAAGATGAAGTTTCAAGTTTGTGGATTTATCTTAGCTTTTGCTGCACAAGTGCTTTTCTCTTGAGTGTGATTTTAATTTATACTATTAAAAAAGTACATAAAGATTCTTTTTAAGTACCCCCTATTCAACTAGAAAAGTAATTTATTTTCATTGTCAAAAGTTTAGAAAATGCATAATGAAGAAAATAAAAATCATCCATATTTACATTATGCAGTCAGCTATTGAAAACCATTAATTTTCTGTGCTTAAGTAACTTGTTATATGAATATATATGCATAATCTCTTTTTCAATAAAATACTTGCTTTACTTCATGAATGCTAGAATTGTTATGTGTCTTTAACTGTAGGTGGTGTGTATTTGTTTCCTACAGATTCGCAGTGGCTGTGCCTTTATGGTCCATGTGTGCCAGGATGAGCACCAACTTTACAATGAATTTTTCACAAAACCAACATCAAAATTAGAGTAGGTAGTACACAGAGTTTAACTCTTGTTTTTAAGATTTAATTTGCTAATGATCATAATGGCTTATTATTACATGGGAGTATTCTTAAATTAACTGCAGAGTGTTTAACTTTTGTGGGTGTGTGAACAGAATACTGTCGAGTGGGACAGTGTTTATTTATTTTAAGATGAATATGTAATTTAAAGGCCAACATGCTTTCATATTGTTATAATTATGGAGATAGTATGTTATGATAGTAAGAATCCTATATAGAGAACTAAGTCTTGGGATCCCTTTATCTCCACCAAGTAAATAAATCCTTCCAGTTAAAAAATTCTGTGTTTCTAACTAATGAAAGACACTTAAAAATACAGACACTACTTAATATCCTTTTTAAAAAGTTTTCCCAAAGTGTCTTTCCGATCCACTGTTACTAACTTTCGGTTTCTTCTTATTGGCAGTTTGGACTGCTATAAAGAGTCCAAGACTGTGATCCTTATAATGGTGAAGAGACAAGTGTATTGTACCGTTTTGATTGGGTTGATCACTTTTTTTTTTTTTTTTTTTTTTAACAGAGAGAAAGGGAGAGGGGCATAGAGAGTTAGAAACATTGATAAGAGAGAAACATTAATTTAGCTGCCTCCTGCACACTCCCTACTGGGGATGTGTCCGCAACCAAGGTATATGTCCTTGACTGGACTCGAACCTGGGACCCTTCAGTCTGCAGGCTGGCGCTCTATCCATTGAGCCAAACCAGTTAGTCTGGGTTGATCACTTTTGATGAAATACTGCATGTAGAAGAATACTGTTGACAATATGAATAATGTAGACAACATAGTTTTTTCTTTTCAAATGTTTTTGTCAAAATACTTGCATGTCCAGAGTACTTTGAGTTTTGTTAATCTGAATCTGCAAGTTATTCAAGAATTCTGCATGTATCTTTCCTGGGGAAAATGTTATCATTTGATTCACAGTGATGTAGAATATAAAAGGATTAAGTCTACTGATTACTTTTTATTGTGTTTGAAGGGACATATACAAAGTTATTACTGAAATAAGTAAAAGTTGTAATAAATTGACATTTGGCTGGAGGCAGCTAATTTGAATTGATTGCTCATTGTTTATTGATTCTTGGCTTTTATTTATTTTTTATTTTTAAAATATATTTTATTGATTTTTTACAGAGAGGAAGGGAGAGGGATAGTTAGAAATATCGATAAGAGAGAAACATCAATCAGTTGTCTCCTGCACACTCCCTACTGGGTATGTGCCCGCAACCAAGGTACATGCCCTTGACCGGAATTGAACCTGGGACCCTTCAGTCCTCAGGCCGACGCTCTATCCACTGAGCCAAACCGGTTAGGGCTGATTCTTGGCTTTTAAAATAGCACTTTACAGAATTATTTTCAGCCTTTCATCTTCATTATATAATGTTCCCCATATTATTTCCTAGTAGATTTTTTACTAAGTTTATGGAATGGAAATAATAAAAAATGTCTTTTAAACTGGAAAGATTGCTACTAAACCATGTTTTCTTTATTTTAGTGAACTTTTGGAGAAACTGTGTGTGTCATTGTATGATGTCTTCAGGCCATTGATCATTCATGTTATTCACTTAGAGACGCTCTCAGAACTTTGTGGGATTCTTAAAAATGAGGTGCTGGAAGATCATGTACAGAACAATGGTAAATGATAAGTAAGAGTGATAATTTCAAAGGCCTTTTATATCTGTGGCTCAGTGAATTTGAGAAAGATTAGTTCTTTCTCCCTGTACCTTTCTACCTATATAAACTTAATATTTTTGAAGCCTGGGCTGATGCCTTATCTCTTTCTGAATTAAGATATACCTTATTCTGTGACTAAATGTACAAATTGAATGGGGAGAGCATTTTAAAATCTGAACAAAATTAGTCATAAAATAATTATAGTTACGTTACTTTCTGGCAACTGAAATCCAGAGAGAACGGACCTCAGCTTTGGTTTATGCATTTTTAGTACACAGTTACCAGAATACATAAATTGACTATATTGTATACTGTCCCCCCCCCCCCCATCATCGATTTTCTAGAGAGTGGGAGGGAGGGGGGAAAGGAGAGAGAGGAGGAGGAGGAGGAGGAGGAGGAGGAGGAGGAGAAGGAGAGAGAGAGAGAGAGAGTGAGAGAGAGAGAGAGAGAGAGAGAGAGGTGAGAAAGAGAGATGTGAGAGAGAGACATTGATTTGCTGCCTTTTGCACTCACCCAGGAATGTGCCCCTGACCGGGAATCAAACCCTCGACCTTTTGGTGCGAGGGCTGATGCTCTAACCACTGCGCAGCAACGGTCAGGGCTATATTGTATATTCTTGATTAAAAAACAGGAATTATTTCAGCATATACATAATAATGATTCATCTTTTTGAAATTATATATATATATATAAAGCTATTCTCTAAAACAGATTTGTTTTATACATGTGATACACTCCTCAATATTTATTTGATTTGTCAAACGATTTTCCTAATGATACATAGGTACCTTTAAAAAAATACCCTTCAAGTAATCATTTTACTGGCAGAAATTATTTGACTTTCCTTAGGAGACACTGGAGGTTTGTCACTCTTCCAAAGTTTCTTATTCTACTGTATTTACTTCATTCAAAGACATACATGTTCTCATTTTTTTGAACTTTTTTTATTAGTTTATTTGAGCCAAACATAACATATGCTGGCAAGCAAGATCAAATGCTCCAGAGAATAACAGTTTTGCAGTTTCTTTTATGCATTTGAAATTAAGGAGGGCATTTTCTTACATTTTAATGCTTCTGAATTAAAGATGATTTTTAAAATTAATGTGAATATTTATATGATTGTGCAGTGTCTTCAACTCCCCAGCATTGGGAAGCTGTTACTGAATTACTGGTGTGTCTTAACATTGATGGCATCTTAGAAATGAAGAAATTCTATATAAAATCATATCTAATTTTATTTTTAAATCATTTTTCTTTGTGAAAATATTAACAAGTCATTTAATATCTGTGGGACCCAATTTATTTGTAAAATGGGGATGATAACCCAATTAATAAGTTGGCTTAGCTATCTCTTAGGATTGGTCTGAAGCTGTATGAGATAACTTAAAAAGTACAAAACACTTTAAAAGTCAGATTTTATTATTCATACATATTAATAATAGAAATAATTTCACAGAGTCCCAGGAAGAAGATGCAAGGGCAAAGTTATTTCCCAATTGTAAATTTAAGGAAATTGAAAGACATTTATTAAATTTTTAAGGTCATTGAGTCACACCGAAATAGAGTAGATATATATAACCTCAGGCCATGAAGCAAAAGTGGTTCATACTGTTACTAGACAATTTAGTAATATATTTACTCATTTAAAGAAAGTATTTTTCTAAATCTGAAAGAATGGGTGATTGTACTTTTTTTTAAATCAGCTGAACAACTAGGGGCATTTGCAGCTGGAGTAAAGCAGATGTTGGAAGATGTACAAGAGCGGCTCGTCTACAGAACGCACATCTACATTCAGACAGACATCATTGGCTACAAGCCGGCTCCTGGAGATCTGGCATATCCTGATAAGTTAGTAATGATGGAGGTGGGTTCTCCTTACTGATCTCATCCCTACCTCTTCACTATTTCCAGGATTTTTCTTTTAAGTTCTCAAAATGTAAAATCAAGATAAACCTGCCACAAAATCATCCTATATAATAAAAGCCTAGGTGGCGCAATGCCCTCGCGTGACATCATCACAAGATGGCTACAGAAGATGGCCATCACAGGATGGCCGCCCTCACGTCATCACAAGATGGCTGCCACAAGATGGCCAGCAGGGGAGGGCAGTTGTGGGCAATCAGGCCTGCAGGGGAGGGCAGTTACAACATACACAAAAAACAGTTTCAGTATTATACCACCAATACCATAACTAACAACAAACTTACTGAATTCAAGATTTTTGTACTTCTTTTTGTCCTTAAAATATATCCTACTAAGATATGCAGGATGGGGCAAAAGTAGGTTTACAGTTGTGAGTATGCGAAATAGGGTTTATTCTTATATTCTTATTTATTGTATTATTACTTATTGGCCAAATGAATAACTAACTGTAAACCTACTTTTGCCCCACTCTATACAATCAGATACTGTCAGCTATAGATTTGAAGATTTTACTTATGAGCCAATCTCCTTAGACTAGAGATTTTGCCCATTAATGTTGCCATTTGCCTGGCATGGGGGAACTGTAGACTCAGAGAGATCTAGGTTCAAATTCTAGCTCTATCAGTATTTGTTACTTAGCTTCAATGTATATGTTTCATTATTTGTAAAATAGGCGTAATAGTACTGACCATGGAGGGTTGTGAGAGTAGAGATAATGTCTGGAAAGCCCTTAACTTAGTAGTCATATAGTAGACAGTAGCTGTTATTGTTTAACCTTTGAAATATTTAAAAACAACATTTGATTGAAAGTCCATGAGTAAAGTATTCAACTCATCAGTTAAAGTTAAATTTTAATGTTTTCCAGCTTTATTGAGATATTAGAGGCCTGGTGCACGAATTAATGCACAAGTGGGGTCCCTCAGGGTGGCCTGCGGAGATTGGGCCCCAGCTCGTGCCCCCAGCCTCGCAGCCTTGTAGCCCACCTGGTACCCCGCCTTGGCCTGGCACCGCCCCCTCACCTACTCCACCATCCCGCCTGTGGGACGATCAGTTGGGGCCAGGGTCTCCCCGCCCACCTGGCTCCCTAAGTGCCTAGGAGCCAGGCAGTGGCCCTACCCCTTTTGCCTGCCCCCTGCCACTGGTCGCTGTCTGCCAGGTGATCGGTGGGGCCATTAGGCCCCATGCTTACACCTGCCTTGACCTTGTGCCACCCACTCGCCTGCTCCACCATCCCGCTGTGCTCTCGTCAGGGCCCATTGGGGCCAGCAGTGCCGCCACTGTCACCTGCTGCCAGTACCACGTCGCTGACGCCCGCCATGTTCCGCGCTGCCCTCCTGGTGGTCAGCGCACGTCATAGTGAGTGGTCGAACTCCCTGCCAGATGACCACCCAAGGGGACAATTTGCATATTAGGCTTTTATATAGGACTAGAGGCCCGGTGCACAAAAATTTGTGCACTGGGGGGGTGTGTGTGTCCCTCAGCCCCACTTGTGCCCTATCACAGTCTGGGACCCCTTGGGAGATAACGACCTGCTGGCTTAGGCCTGCTCCCGGGTGGTAGAGGGCAGGCCCAATCCCTAGGTGCAGCCCCTGGTCGGGCTCAGAGCAGGGCCGATTGGGGAGTTGGGGCGTCGCCCCGTCATGCACAGAGCAGGGCGGATTGGGAGGTTGTGATGCCACCCCCAGTCACGCTCAGGGTAGGGCTGATGGGGAGGTTGCGGCTCCACCCTGTCACACACAGTGCAGGGCTCATGGGGAGGTTGGGGCACTGGCCCCTGTCACGCTGCTCCAGGGGCCAGCAGGCCTCGCGGCTCCGCCGATCCCAGTGCTGGGAGGCCTCGCGGCTCCGCTTGACACCGGGGCAGTGAGGCCTCACTGCTCCGCTGATCCCGGTGCCTAGAGGCCTCGCGGCCCCGCTTGACAGAGGGGCAGTGAGGCCTTGCTACTCCACTGATCCCAGTGCCAGGAGGCCTCCTGGCTCCGCTGATCCCAATGCCGGGAGGCCTCGCGGCTCTGCTGATCCTGGGTTCGGGAGGCCTCGCGGCTCCGCTGATCCCAGTGCTGGGAGGCAGAATACCCTTTTACTATATAGGATAGAGGCCTGTTGCATGGGTGGGGGCCAGCTGGTTTGCCCTGAAGGGTGTCCCGGATCAGGGTGGGGGGTCCCGCTTGGGTGCCTGGCCAGCCTGGATGAGGGGATAATGGCTGTTTGCAGCTGGTCACACCCCTTCAGGGTGGGGGTCCCCACTGGGGTCCCTGGCCAGTCTGGGTGAGGGGCTGAGGGCTGTTTTCAGGCTGGCGGGTTACAAGCTCCCAGCCTCTCCTTTTTTAATTTTAATTTTTTTTATTTTGGGATTTATTTACCTTCTATGGCTGTCACTGGAGCTGAGAGCCGGCTTTAGTCTGAGGCTCTGCTCCAACTCTGAGACCTCGGCTGCTGAAAGCAGGTATCTGGTTTGTTTGGCTTTTATAATTGAAACACTGTTGCAACTCCAGCTCGGCCGACTGGCTGAAAGCATGGGGTTTGTTTAGCTTCTATAATTGCAACATTGTTTCTTAGAGTGCAAGCTCAGAGGCTGGCAGGCAGGCGGGGAACCTTGGCTTCCTCCATCACTGGAGTAAGCAAGCCTCCTGTTCGCTTCAGCTGCCTGGCTGCTGGCCACCATCTTGGTTGGCAGTTAATTTGCATATCGCCCTGATTAGCCAATGGGAAGTGTGTCAGAGGTACGGTTAATTACCATGTTTGTCTATTATTAGATAGGATAATCCTATCTAATAAAAGAGAAACATGGTAATTGGACGACTGCTACCCTTCCCATTGGCTAATCAGGGCAATATGCAAATTAACTGCCAGCCAAGATGGCGGCCGGCAGCCAGGCAGCTTGAAACTAACATGAGGCTTGCTTGCTTCAGTGACGGAGGAAACCAACGTTCCCCGCCTGCCGCTGCAGGCCTCTGAGCTGCAACTCTAAGCAACTATGTAACAAATATAGAAGCTAAACAAAACCCCAGAAACCTGCTTTAGTCTGCCGGGCTTCAGCCAGCAGGATCGCAACATTGTAAGCAAAGGCCAGAAACCTACTTTCAGCAGCGGAGGCCTAAGAGCTGGAGCCAAGCCTCAAAGCTAAAGCTGGCCCAGAATAAAAATGAAATAAAGAAAAAAAGCGGTTGGGAGCTTCAGTCACCCCCAGCCTGAAAACAGCCCTCAGCCCCTCACCCAGACTGGCCAGGCACCCCAGTGGGGACCCCCACCCTGATCCAGGACACCCTTCAGGGCAAACCAGCCAGCCCCCACCCATGCACCAGGCCTCTACCCTATATAGTAAAAGGGTAATATGTCTCCCAGCACCGGGATCAGCGGAGCCGCGAGGCCTCCCGGCACCAGGATCAGCGGAGCCACGAAGCCTCCCAGCACTGGGATCAGCATGACAGGGGGCAGCGCCCAAACCCCCTGATTGCCCTGGGGCTCTGTGTGTGACAGGGGGCGGGGCCACAACCGCCCTATCCACCCTGCTCTGTTCGTGACAGGGGAAGGCGCCCCAACCCACTGGTCAGCCCTGCTCTGTGCCTGATAGCGGGGAGCTCCCCAACCCCCTGATCGCCCTGAGGCTCTGTGTGTGACAGGGTGCGGCGTCCCAACCCCCTGATTGGCCCTGCTCTGTGTGTGACGGTGCGGTGCCCCAACCCCCCCACCCCACGTTCCCTGCTCTGTGTGTGATGGGGTAGAGCCATAACCTCCCCATCGGCCCTGCCCTGAGTGTGAGAGTGGCGGCGCCCCAACCCCCTGATTGGCCCTGCTCTATGCGTGACAGGGGGCAGCACCCCAACCCCCTGATTGGCCCTGCTCTGTGCGTGACAGGGTACAGAGCCCCAACCCCCCTCATGGGCCCTGCTCTGTGAGTGACGGGGCAGTGCCCCAACCCCCTGATTGGCCCTGTTCTGTGCGTGACGGGGTGGCGCTGCAACCTCCCCATTGACCCTGCCTTGAGTATGACGGGGCGGTGCCCCAACCCCCCAATCAGCCCTACCCTGAGCGTGACTGAGGGTGGCATCACAACCTCCCGATCGCCCTGCTCTGTGCATGATGGGGCGGCGCCCCAACTCCCCAATCGGCCCTGCTCTGAGCCCGACCAGGGGCTGCACCTAGGGATTTGGCCTGCCCTCTGCCACCCAGGAGCAGGCCTAAGCCAGCAGGTCGTTATCTCCCGAGGGGTCCCAGACTGCGAGAGGGCACAGGCCGGGCTGAGGGACCCCTCTCTCCCCCCACGAGTGCACAAATTTTTGTGCACCGGGCCTCTAGTTGACATATAACATTGTATAAATTTAAAGTGTACAACATAATTATTTGATATATGTATGCAGTGTGAACTGTTTACCATAATAAGGTTAGTTAACACATCCATCACCTCACATAGTAACAAATATTTTTTTTGTGTGTGTGGAGAGAACTTTTAAGATTTATCTTAGCAGCTTCTAGATATAAAATACAGTATAATTGATTAATAGTTACCATGCTATACATTAGATCCCCAGAATTTACTTATCTTACCACTGGAATTTTTTACCCTTTGATTATCTTCCCTCATTTTTCCCATCACCTGCCCCCCCACCCTGGCAGCCTATCTATTCTCTGTTTCTATGAGTTTGAGTTATTTACGTGGAATCTAATGAACAAAATAAACTGATGAGCAAAATAGATCCAGAGACATAGAAACATGGAACACACTGACAAATCTCAGAGGGTAGGTGGGGGTGGGTGGGTGGGTGGGTAGGGAGAGATTAACCAAATAATTTATATACATAACCCATGGACACAGACAATAGTACAGTGAAGGCCTGGCGAGGGGTGAGGGTGGGGTGGAAGGGGGTTTGTGGGGAATAAAAAGGGGACATCTGTAATACTCTCAACAAGAAAGATAAATTTTTAAAAATAAAGAAAAAA